GTCCACAGATCCTGCACTAAACACTAAATCTCACAGCGGGACGTCGTGGCTCCCCAATGGAAGGTCTTTAACACAAGCTCATCACCGAGCCTGTGAGAGAAAGAGCAGCCTCAGGCGCAGAGCCGCTATCAGCAGTAACAGCCGATTAGAAGTTAATTACACTGTCATGTTGCAATGGGGCATTGCCCCAGCCTGTGTCAGGTGACATTAGCGTTTCCTTTATGGAAATGATATGAAGTTTCCTTTTTTTTTTTTTTTTTTAATATATCTTTATTGACTTCAGAGAGAGGAAGGGAGAAGGAGAGAGAGAGATAGAAACATCCATGATGAGAGAGTCATTGATGGAGCCTGCAACCCGGGCATGTGCCCTGACCAGGAATCGAACCCTGATCGCCTAGATCCTAGGTCAACGCTCAACCGCTGAGCCACGCCCGGCTGGGCTGAAGTTTCCTTTTTAAATGAACCCTTTGCTTTTCTTTAAAAAGTCAACTGAAAATATTAAGGGAATAACACAGGCCATAAATGGGTATCGCGAAGGGGCTCGGGTGGCCGACACCGCGGCTGATGCTGGGGAGACACAGCTGGTTAAGCTGCTGTGTGTTTCCCCATGTGCCTGGCCCTCGATACTGCTGTTCTCTCATCACAGTCCTCATCTCTCCCCTCCAGCGGCGTCAAGGACACGAGGCTACCTTGGTGGTTGGTGGTGGCTGAGACTTTAGATGCTGCGTCCAGGGTTCTCTCCAGTGGCCCCATCAGAACTAACTCAGCCCGGCTGCCTCTAGAGCTTACGTGAGAGGAAACAGAGCCAGAACCTCGTTTCTAGAAAATGAAATAATTCCCAGCAACATGGAAGTGCAGCCACTTAATTTCCCCCCTCCCACCCCCCACAGCAGAGGAACAGGACATCATGTTCCTATAGTTTGTGAATGTCTAATGACTGCACCGCATGACCTTCATCACGCTCCAAAATATTTCAGTATCTTCCGAGTGGTCGGTTTGCTGCTTAAAGGCGTTAAATGTAACATCTTGGTATAGGAATCACTCTGCAGAATAGACACCTTCACAAGTCCCTCAGCTTCTCACATCTCTGCAGAGAAACACTGACAAGTCCATGTCACTTAACCCAGTAATGGAAGGGAAAGACGCTGGCAGCCCACTGCCACATACATGTTAATCAAACGCAGCTCATATAAACCCCTCTACACAGTGACCCAGTGACCTCTTCCTTCCTCACGGCTCAGGGGTGGCAGGCACAGTGCACAGGGACCCCCAGGCCACGGCCAGAACCCTGACTCGGACTTCAGGCAATTTAACTCTCCTCTCTGAGCCTCCCTCTCCTCACCTACAACATAAATGTCACTGAAGTGTTGGGGGTATTGTGAAGCTTAATGAGGTGATCTGCCTATGAAGCCTAACATGCAAATGATAGGAATTTACTACAAAACCAGTGCTCATGGGGACCCTACACCAGGATAGTCACATTTTCCCAGGAGAAAATAATCTACAAATCAAAGAAGCAAAATGCAGCCTTAGTCTGGTCACCTGACAGGACCTCTGTACGTGGGGAGCTCCCTGCCCATCTCGTGTTCCCACTGCCAACACCCACGTTAATACATTCAGTCTTCGAATCCCTAGGGCTTCTTTAGGAGGTGGGGTAGATATATTTTACAGGACTCGCCCTTGACACAAGCTCTCAACAGGGCATCTCAGGCATCATTACATCCCCCTAACAGGCGAGACGAGGCGGGAGTTCACTAACCTAGGCCATCCATTCTTGCAGCCAAATTTGTTTTGAATTACCCTGCGCACATAACACTTATTACGCTGTCATCTTGAAATCACATCACTGAGAGGCTCGGTGAGGTGATGACTCAGGCTGCCAGCCAGCCGAGAACGACAGCCTTCACTCCCGGATCAGAGCTGCGTCTGTGTTCCACGGCGGCGATGGTGATGGCTGCAATCACAGGGAATGCGCATCCAGGGACCGAGGCCGGTCAGGCTCAGTATCATTAACTCGCCCAATTGAGCAGATTGCTTTCACAACAGCGTATGCAGCTCTAAAACCAAGTAAATGGACTGTTGTGGAACAAAAAATGCTGATTGCTAACTTTATTATGAATTAAATGCTTAAGTTATTCACCTAAGGCTCTGGTGGGTCCCCTGGGACACAGGTGCAATTATGGTGAAAATCCAATCAGTTTGTCTCTGGGTGAGTATCACAGCTGCAAATATGACCAGACACTAAGGGACTCGAGGAGGCCCTGTGCCGTAAGGTCTCCCGAGACGAGACGACTGTGCAGAGGACGTGGGACAATTCCTTCCTGGTCCCTCTGAAGGCTGTGACGTGCCCACTGTTACCTGTCCGAGGTGCTCACAACCATCTTTTCCACATGCTGAGGACTGTTGCAGGGCTGGGGGTTTGTCCATTTGGAGGTAAAATTCGCTGACAACCCACCTGCCCACCTTCTAGTCACTCACTCATCCAGACAGTATCTGCTGTGGTCACTCAGACTTGTTCCTCTCCTGGATGATGGCTGCCACTTGGAAAAATTTCTTGGGCACTCTCTGGAACCCAAACTGAGCCAAGACCCAGGAAGAGGCTGGACTCACACTGTCCACCTAGAAATTCCATTGGTGAGACCACTGTCACACACCTTCTGTCACCTTTCAAAACCGGAGCCCAAAAACCCTGCGAAGTTCTCTATGACATGAGTGCAAGCAATTCAGGGTATTTTTTAATATGATATTTGGAAAAGACAGTCCATACTCTCTCCAAATTAAAAAATAAGTATCTTTTTATGGGAGAACATTTAGTTTCTGAGGACCCGTGCCTTGTGATCACCTGTTTCTATTACAGGTGCAAATGACCCAGTAAAAGTGCTGATGCAATTTAAAATATCGGCCTCCTATAAATTATGCCCCTGGATAAAACCCAACTTTTATAGGGTTCATTTAATTAAATACGGGGGCAGTGATTTCATTCTGTAAAATATCACACCTATGTTTTCAAACTAATTAAAACTTAGATTCTGTTGGAATTAAGAGATGGAAATAAACCATATAATAAAAAATAAAAGGTTTTAAGCCCTGATTTAGGTTGGATTAAAAAAAATTATTGGACTGATATCACCAAGACGGTGACATAGGTGGTTCCAAGATAGGGCACAGCTGAGAGAACCCAAGAATGCAGGGTGAGGCTGAGGCCCTCCTGCATGGAGACAGGTGTATTAGAGGGTAAGAGGTTGACCTTAACCCGTTGCCTCTCCTGCAGGGCCCCTGCACCACGCAGACAGGTGTCCTCTGAGCCTCTGGTTCCTCCTTTGGGGAAAGAGAACCCATGGAAGACAACCAGCACCCCCATCCCTGAGGGTCAGTTTGTGGGAGCCCCAACTGTGATTTCAAACCACAGAGGTTTCAGGGGAGTCTGTGGGCTCAGCCACCAGGAATCTGACTGTGATGAGAAGGCGGAGGGACCTGTAGCAACCAACACGCACACCTGGGCAGGCCGAGTTCAGGCCTGTGGTGCCAAGTGGTAACTCCAACCTGAGGCTTTGCTCACCTGCAGAACCAGGTCCGGTGAGCTCTGAGCAGGGCATTTGGTGGGGTGCAGATCTGCCTGGATCAGATCCTCAGACAAGCACTTTCGCTGGCCCCAGAGCCCAGTGTGGTCCTGTCCACAGGAGACAGGCCTAACTCCACCTGCTGGGGACAGCGTCTCTGGCCCCATGTGAACAGAAAGGCTGGTGGCAATTTGAGACCCAGAGGCAGGCAGAGCCAAAGTTTGCAGAGCAAAGCCCTTGGTCCTTTTCTGTCAGGGAACTTGGGGTGCCAGGCGGCTTGAGATAAACAACAAACTAAAAGCTTTACTGGCTTAAGAGCTGTGACAGAGAAGGACCAGCAGCGTTTTCTAAGATGATTTATTAGACATGGGTAGAATTTGCTAGAAACCCACAAGATGCAAATCATCTGGGGAGGAATTAATGGACCAAACACACACTTGATAATGCAATTAGAATACGAGATGTAGAGTTTTCGGGGG